AAAGGTTCAAGTTTCAGCTGTATATGGAGAATTTTGGATATCAAATCGAAAATATCAATCCAATATTTTTGAACTTGGGGACATAGAGCAAAACTGTGGCTTAACGTATCTTCTGCAGAGGAACACTTATCACATATGGGAAATACCTCAGGATAGATTTTGTGTAATTGTTCTTTAGAGAAATGAAGGCGGTGCAGAATCTTAAATTGGATTAAAATATACCTCGCATTATAAGAGCACCTATAGATATTTTCCAGGCTTGTCTCCCAATATGTATCTGAAATTTTATTACCCATTTCCTGCTCCCATTTAGACTTTATTGGAGAGGTGCTTGCTGGACTCAGAGACATCAGGCTTGAGTAGATTCAAGAGATTAATTTCTCCGTATGTGGTGGAAGCTGAAGGCATTCATCTAAACCGGAGCTCTTAAAGGTCTCAAACTTATGTACGTGTTTTCTAATATAATTGCCAGGGCATTGAAAGTGGGTCGTGGTTGGGTATTCCAGCATGACAATGATCCAAAACACACAGCCAAGGCAACAAAGGATTGCCTCAAGAAGAAGCATATTAAGGTCATGGAGTGGCCTAGTCAGTCTCCAGACCTTAATCCCATAGAAAATCTGTGGAGGGAGCTGAAGGTTCGAGTTGCCAAACATCAGCCACAAAACATTAATGACTTGGAGAGGATCTGCAAAGAGAAGTGGGCCAAAATCCCCCCTGAGATGTGTGCAAACCTTGTTGCCAACTACAAGAAATGTCTGACCTTTTTAGAGAGGTTTATGGAAGTCCTAAACATGCCAATAAATATGGTTCTTAACTGTTCCGCACAGTGCCTTAAAATATTTTTCCAGATATTATCTGGACCTGGAGCTTTTCCATGGATTGCAACCTCTAAAATGGTGAAAGACATCTGATTCCTTGATATGATATGGAAATGGGAGGGATTGCGACAGCAGCCTCCACACTATCACCATTCTCAAAATGACAGAAAAAAGTACTGAGCTGATTTGCCTTCTCCAATCTGTTGCTACCATGCAGAGCAAGAGTAGACTTTCCTCTGCCCTTATGTGGGACATTTATCATGGCTTTAATCCCTTGCCTTTACTCCCTAGGCTTACCAGCCACCATAATAGCAATTATCTTTTGCTTGGAAGTATATTTGTCCAGCTGTATTTGTCTTTTAATCTGTCTTTGAATGTCCCTTCTTGCTGCTTCATCCTGATTTCTGAGCTTTAGAATCAGAATCTGCTTTATTGTTTTGTATTATGAGATCCTTTAGTTTCTTAGACACCCAAGGCTTATCATTAGAACATACTTTAAAGGTCTTAGTTGGTATTACAGATTCTACACAGAAATTAATATAATCAAATACTACTACTACTTGTTCATCAATATTCCATGCTATTAAAGACCTCCCATAGTCCATCCATCCATTATCATCTGCTTATCAGGAATTGGGTCGCAGTTGCAGCAGGTTCAGCAAGGTAGTCCAGACATCCCTCTAATCTCTCTAGCGTGTTCTGGGTCTGCCCTGGGGTCTTCTACCAGTTGGATGTGCCAGGAAGACCTCTGTAGTCTTCCGATTCTTTTAGCCATGCTAACTCTGAGAGACAAGGCAGTCCAAGTAGCTTCAAAACAGTGCTGATTTATTCAATGAACACAGGTAAAAATTAACATTACACGCTCAGGTATCTTGCACCTCCAACATGCACGCAGGCAGCTGAAGGATGAAAGACCCTGAACCAAACCAGGCCTGTACATTTATCTCTTCGGTTGGGCTAGCCCCATTCTACACAGAAACGTCAAGCCGTGACGTCTTTGGTGCCAGCTTTGCAGCTGACCACAGCAGTAGTCAAAACATGAAGAAAATCAATGTGTGTGTGTCTGTTGATTAAGTGGTGTGTATCTAAAAACATTCTGACATGACATCTGGTGACATGTCATGACATTAAACATAAGAAAATATTATGATTACGATTATGGTTAAACACATCATAATAATAATAATCATCATCCTGTCTTATAACAGTCATCAACTTTCTATCTAGTTATCCTTGACCATATGCAACCTGCAAAAACTCATGAGCATGACTAAGCATTTAACAGCCTAAACTAGACATCCTGACGCCACTAAACATTTCTAATACATAAAGTACCTAACCAATGTCTATCTGACTAAAAATACCTAACACCTCCAAACGGAGGCACCCTGAAGGCATCCTCATAAGATGCCGGAACCACCTCAACTGGCTCCTTATAATGTGAAGGAACAGAAGTTCTACTCTTGAGTATTTTCTGGATGTCCAAACGCCACACCCTATCTCCAAGGGAAAGTCCGGCCACCCTACGAAGAAAACTGATTTTGGCCGCTTGTACTGTATTTGCCATTTTATTCTTTCGTTCACTACCTACAATTCATGACCATAGATGAAGGGTGGAGCATAGACTGACTAGTAAATTGAGAGCTTTGCTTTTCAGCTCAGCCCAGCTCTTTCTTCACCACAATGTCTGCATTACTGCTGATGTTGCTCCTATTCACCTGTCAGTTTCACGCTCAAGTTTACCCTCACTCATGAACAAGACCCAGAGATACTTAAACTCCTTTACTTGGGGCAGCAACTCACTCCCAACCCAGAGTGAGCAGTCCACTGGTTTAAGGTAGAGCACCATGGCCACAGACTTGGAGGTGCTAACAATCTTTGCTGCTTCACACTCAGCTGCAAACCGCCCCACTGCATGCTGGTAATCATGGTCTGATGAAGCCAACAAAACTATATAATCGACAAACAGCAGAGATGCAAGTAGTAGTCCACATTGTTCATAGCCACAAAGCATCGCCTGTGTCTAATGCTTTAATTCATTGTCCATTTATTTGTCCAGACATCATTCTATAGGTCATTGTCTCTACTTCAGTGAGCCCATCCTTTTGTAAAGGTGCATAACAAATGCCTGTGATTTTAGCTTTGCATGGGAACACACAGAAGCTGCCTTCAAATCAAGATAACAATGAGCTCTGTGCTCGTCCATGGCTGTATAGCATCCAGCACCTTCATGGACATTAATGGAATGAGTTACGTGCCCACTCATATTCTGGCCATCTCCATATTTTGGCAATGTATTCAAATTATAGGAGATAATTTTCAATATCTTCTCCGGTTTGCTACAAAGGGATTCTGGACTCCTAGTAGGGCCTCAGTGATTCAATTCTAGCTTCAGCTTTTTGTAACTAGAGGTGAACCCAGTTTCTCATTCTGATCACTCCTAGGTGGTGTTGGTGTTGACAACTTTATTCTGGGGCTTGCAACTCTGTTCTTGGAGTTATAATGCCTGATGGCTGGGGTTGTACCAGATAAACTGTGTAGAATCTGTAAAACCTTGTGAGAGAACCTACATGACACATTATTTACTCCCTATTTCCTGTTACAGTCATGACTCCACGTCATGAAAGGAGTCATGACTGTTAGTGTTAGACCCAGTTCTTTAATGGAAAGCCTGAGAACAGAAAACAGAAGAGGACTGTATAAAATCAGTGGAGATTTATTCACAGTCTGGTCACATGTAAAGCTATACAGCGCTGGGCTTAGAAAAACAGAGCTTTCACAGGAACCCTGTCATCAAAGAGCCCCAAGCTATCATCTGTGGTCACATTTATCTTCTTGGGCGGAGACCGCCCCATACAGAGGTTGGACTTTACATGCATTCTAATTCTATTGGCCCTTGGCGTGAGCAGGCCAGCCTCTGCCCATATCAGCTTACTGGAATGTGCTAGAAGCCAGGTGTGTGAGTGTTGTGATATCAGGCGGTAGCTAACAATGAATACTGGACAATTGGTTGTCCGCGGCTGCAGACACCCTGTCTGTCTAGGCTATTACAGGACAAAGCAGACCTTGTGAAAATGCTAAACAGGCCAAGAGATGATTTGAAGTTGTAGACCCCCTGTCTCTGCAAAATATTATATGACAAAGCAGAACTTGTAAAATGCTAAGCAGGCCTATGTGAAGATGCAAAACAGGCCATCTGGTTAATTAAAGATGCAGACATTATGTCTCCACAAAGTTCTAGCAGACAGTTCCTACTCAGCAGTTCTTGACAATTATCAATACAGCTGTAATATATATAAGAAAGGAAAATGTAGGACCTAAGCGTCCTGCATGTTCATTTCTGAGGAAGAGTCGAAGTCAGAAGAACCTTTAAAATATTTATTACAACCTTGATGAAGAAAAAATATTCAAGACAAGCAATACAGAGCTCTGGATTCCATCTCTATCTGAAGCCCTATCACACAGAGAAGTCAATGCATAGCTGCTGCAGGAAGCCGGAACCACGAGTTTCCTCTGCATAGATAATTTATAATAAGAGTCATGCAAATGATCTGACGTCATCCGCGTTGTCCTTCATCCTCGTTCCTTGGTTGGTTTCTTGACCTCGTTCTGACCCCTCATTTGGTGATCTTGTCGCCAGGCAGATTTTGGTCTGTGACATTCTCAGAACACATCCTGACCTTTCAATAGACAGTTTTAGAGGAAGCACCTTGAGCGTTGCTATGCAACCGCGGTCTACTTCCTGTATGTGGTTTCCTGTCTACTCTTACAGCCTTACACATGTCTCCTATATTCTTAAAGACAAGTGAACTGGTTAAAACAAAAGTAGATTATAAGGCATATGATACTATTATAATGCATATGATACTAAAATTCATTTTCTAATGTATCTGCACGGCTTCCTGTTGTTCTGAGTCTCTGCACTTAGACACCTACTTACACACAGCATTTCATGTGCACGGGTCCTTTTACAAAGGTCAAACAGATTAAACATTTGAACAGTTTTGCAAATACATAACATAGCACTATATCATTTTATCAAGAATTTCTTTCTACAAAAATCATGAGAGTAACTAAAGCTTATAAAATCCAAATATTATATTAGCAACCCACATAATGCCTTTTGTTGTTTTGTCAGTTTTTTCTGAGTTGTAAGTACAGCTATCTTTTCATCTACAGGGGGATTCTTGATTCCATATCTTCTCATGCTGTTTCTGGAGGGTATGCCCTTATTCTATTTAGAGCTTGCCATTGGTCAGAGGATGCGTCTAGGAAGCATTGGAGCTTGGACTGCCATCAGCCCTTATTTGGGAGGCGTGGGTAAGTGTTGACTGAACTGAGTAGTAGTAGAGTTAAATAGTAAAGTAGTAGTGAGACAAACTGTTTGCCTTTATAGTGAAAGAAAAGATGTTGAATTTTGTGAGGCTGGGGGCCCAACTAGGAATTTTTTGTTCCAAGAACACTCCACTTACGTTCCAGTTTGTTTATCTTAGAACGTTCCAGTGATGTTTTCAGCGGCAAGTTTTTTAAAAGTTCCTAGAACGTTCATATTGTGGGTGTAAGAACATTTCAAAGTAACGTTCTTGGAAAATTCCAAATAAAACATTCTTGGAATGTTTTAACCCATTGTTGCCATAAGGTTTTTAGTTTTTAATTCCTACAACATTCTTTTGGTGGGTATAATAATAATAATGTTTGTACACAATGTTTTTCTGACCAAATGTTCTCAAACCATTTCCCTATATTTTTATTGGGAAGGTTTTCATAAGGTTTCTATAACATTTTTTTTTGGGGGGGG